AACACAGCTGCCCTATTGTCACATTTGAGGAGAAGAGGGGGATTCAGGTCGAGAGACTTGATGATGGGTATGAGGAACAATAAAAAATCGACTGAGGAACCGAGTGAAATAAATTCTGCCGCGCATGTTGACGTCGCAACCACCTTCTGACGCCTCGATCCCCATGCAATCGGACTACCTAGGAAGGTGATTATGAAACCCGATGTTGAACGTTGGAATTCGCCGCCCCAGTTAGCATCCGACCAAGTGACTAGGGAATCCGCTGTAACTTCCAGTTTCAATTGTTTGTCTTTGCTTGTTGCAAGATATTGAATGAGGTGGGATAGGGCCGCCCAGTGAGTTTCGTTGGGATTCGAGCTGAAACGAGCCAGGTAATTAACTGCATAACTCAGATCGGGTCTTGTGCCCAGAGCCAAGTAATTTAGAGAGCCGATGAATGATTGATATAGAGTCGGTGATACCGGGTCTCCCCAATTTGTTACCAGGTTATCGCCCAGCAGAGGAGTGTAGGTTGGAATGATGGTGTCCTGAACTTGTTCACGAAATTTCTTGATGGTTTGGTCGATAAGCAGGTGTTGACTGAGATAGATGGCATCATCGGAATAGTCTAGTTTGAGTCCCACTAGTTTCTCCGGCTTTGCGTCCCACTTCACGCGTAAGCTAGATTCGAGGTTGGCCCGTAGATGTTCCAAAGCAGTCGCGTCGTTGCTGAAAACAATGCCGTCATCGACATGAATCCAGATGATGATGATTGACGAGCCTTTCCGATATCGATACAAGCATTCTTCAACTTCGTCACAGTCGAAATCCCAACTGTGGAGGAGAGTCTTGAAATGCTTCCACCAGCATCGGCTGGCCTGCCGAGTACCATATAGGGCTTTTTTGAGTTTGAGGACTTTACCGGCGAGATGAGGGAATAGTTCGACTGGAGGATCCACATAAATGGTTTCATCGATTGGACTGTGGACAAATGCGCCCGTGATGTCGAAAGAGTTGATGATCCAATCGTTCTTGATTGATAGCGTGAGGAGCATGCGGAGTGTCGTAAGAGAAGCCGTAGGGGCAAATGTCGAGCGAACGTCAATGCCGAGGCGTTGTTTGAACCCTCGGACCACAAACCTTGCCTTGAGTTTTTCAATTGAACCGTCTGCTTTTCTCTTGATATCAAATACAAATCGGGTGCCGATTGAGTGTTTGGAGTCCTTGTCTTCAACGGCGAAAGTGTCGATCTGTTCCAATTGTTTCCATTCGTCCATGCAAGCCGATTTCCATCTTGCTGCATTCGGAGACAGAAGGGCATTTCGGAGGGAAGTTGGTATGTCGGAATCTGAGATGGCTTGGATGTTGTCGATTTGAATGTCTTGTGCTTCACAAATTTCTTTTGTCGGTTCTTGTCCAAGGTGGAGGATTCTACGAATGCAAGGTGAGTCAGAAAATTTTCCAGGTGTGGGGATGACGGGTTTGTTTTGGAAATCGAGGAAGTCAGCACACTCAG